ACATAAAATCAGTTTTTCGAGTGCCACAACTACAACATTCTATATTCTTAGATTATATTTTATTTTGCGTAACCCTGAATAGGACTGCTATTAATTACAATTCAAAATTATATGAATAGTAGATTTTGTAGCTGTGGCACTCGAAAAACTGATCTAAGGTGTCAAGTTTTACAAAATTCATAAAAATGACTATGACAAAAAACTAACGATTTTTTACTAAGGTCATATTTTGATTTTCTGCTTAGTCATGAGTGGGTCTATCAGTCCTCCAAAGGATATCGTTGACTTTTGGGACACCCTGTATATATACAGGTTGTAGGCAACACAGGTTACATTACTTAAAACTACTATCACATATGTTACATCTCCTTTCCTTAAAATATAATTTATTATTGTTAACATTACAAATATTTTATTAAAGATTTTGAAATTTCAATATGTGTATATTTGTTTTCAAAAACTTTCAGCATGTGATTACAAGTTAATGTTGTTTTATAAATTTAATCTATTTGGTTTTTTAATTGTTCTGCCTCTAGATGTTATTTTGTTTTCTAGTGAGTCTTCATCTGATTTCGAAGAATCCAATTCTGATTCACAAGAGTTGTAATCCTCATCTCCTCCTTTTGACATATTAAATTCTTTATCAGATGATGTACTCACAGAAGTACTAGGCAAATCATGTGAATGGATAGGTGATTTATTTGGTGAATTATCACTGCAGTCATTTAAATTTAAATTTGTGTTAGGTATAGTCGTTTTGTGAAAAATTTTGTAATTTTTCAATATTTTTATTTTAAAATTGATTTTCATTCTCTTTTTCCGAGTTATCATTTGGAACTACCTGTAAAAATTTTCTATTCCTAAGAATTGAAGATCCATTTTCAAGTTGTATATGATATTTTCTAATACCTACTTTATCTAAAGTTTTACCTTTTATCCACTCACTTTTAGGTTTGAATTGAACTCTAACATTACTATTATTCTTAATATTAGGTAAAAATGTGCTTTTTCTGTCAAAATAATATTTTTGTTTATTTTGTGCATTACATAAATATCTGTCAAAATCTTTTTTATTTACAATTTTACTATTAAAATATTCAGTTTTTTGAGGCAATAATTCTCTTAAATTACGATTATACAGTATATTTGCAGGAGAATAATATTTTTCAATATGAGTATTTCTTAAGCTCAACAAAGCTAAATATGGATCTTTATTTTCTTCACCTTGTTGAAATCGAAAAGTGTTGTAAATTCTTGTTCCTTGGTCACCTATGAGGTGTAATAATTGAGCACATTGTGTTTCTTCTGATTTTTTATTTATTTCACTTGCTTTTAGATAGTTTTTAAATTTTTGCTTCCAGAATTTCCAATTCTCGGATACATTATTCTCAAAGTTCATTTGATTTATCCCACGATAATCCATATCATCCATGGTTATTCTTTTATTATTCATCCAAATTTTTAATTATATTGATAAACTATACGAAGATTTATCAATATTTTCTGATAAAATCAATCGATGATTCTTACAATACACTTTTTACTGATTCTACTACCGACATGCGCCATATGTTATTTCTTAGGTTATGAGGGAGACAATGATGTACACAAGTTGATGTCAATATTATCACTGGTTTATTACACGCAGTGTTGCCAGATTCTTTATCCCAATTTTCTTCAATTTAACCTTAAAAATTCTTCATATTTCTGCAGAGAAGTAAAACGTCATTCGATAAAAAACCTTCTGACTGAATAAGGTACTTAATAATAATAAAAAAAATATTTTTAAAAGTCAAATATCTTTTGTGGTACACAGGAGATAAAGTATTACAAATTAAAGAAAATGAATTATTCTTATAGGCAGAACAAAAAACTACACCATGATTTAGGAATTAAATAAATTATTTAATTTTATTAAATCTAAATGTTTTTTGGTGACAAACATTTTTGCAGAATTTGTACCTGTATCTTTAAAATGGGTACGCAATACGCAAAGGAAATTAATCGATGAATTCAAAGTATTTTCTTGAAGTCTGTTTCGTTTTTTTGTTTTCACATCATTCATTATTGAAAACACCCTTGCATTACACCATCGACATTCAAATTTTGTGTCTTCACTTGTGTTTCACAGAGCCACCCTGTTCGAGGATTTTGGAAAATATTAAAATAAGATACAAAATACTTAATTATTATTTGCTGTGGCAAAGGCACCCATTTAATTAATAAATATGCATACATATTTAAAATTGTAATATTTACCCTTGAGAATCTTCACTTGAACGCATTTTTAAATAAATCTCTAATACAAAATAAACATGTGCATGCATGCAAATCCTTAAAATATAATATACCTACTAGGTATATTATAATTTATAATATAGTAGGTATATTATATTTTATAGAGTTATGATTTATAAATTATAAATAAAATAAATATACCTATTTTATACCAATCATATCTATTAAAATTCGGGGCTTCCCCAGTATAGCACCAGTGATGCAATTCGAGTCTTATACCATTTTACCAGGAGATGTCAGAATGCATACGAAATGAATAAAATAATTAAATTTAAAATTTAAATTTTAAATCATATTACAGTGTTAAAATCGAGTTAAAGAATTAAATAATTTAGAAAATTGAAAAAAATTTAAAAATTAAAAAAAATTCTTCATATTGTAGTGGTTTTTGTAAAATATTCTTCTTTTCTTTATTAGCTCTCCATGTAGGCTAAAATTCTGCATATTGCAGAAAATTCTGCATTTCTGGCAACACTGATTACACGTGTCACATACATTTATATACAGGTTGTAGGCAACACAGGTTACATTACTTAAAACTACTATCACATATGTTACAATGTCAGACAAATTTATTTCATATAGTTTTCATTAACTCTTTTTAAAACCCCAGCAAAACTTTTTAAATTATAATTGTTCTTGGGAAACTTTAAATATTGCTTCTTTCTGATATGCAGTTGTAATATTTTAAAGGATTTCTTTTATAATAAAGATGCATTATCTAAATTTTTTAATACTTATATTGATTTAATTCAATTAAATTAAATAAAAAATATGGTTGAATTAAAAGTACAACTTTTTATAAAATTTTTCGGGGTAAAATTTTACTAATTTTAAATAGAACAAGCACTTTTAATGCTGCCATATTATTAAAAAACAAAACTACTTTTTTATATACATTCAGGTAAAATATAAAATAAAACAAAAATATAACTGAAATATTAAGTTAGACCATAAATAAATAAGAGTCAATTCAACTATCAATATTGACAAGGTGTACAAGAAAAAAGTTTGGGTATGATAATAAAGACAATAGAATCAGAAAAAAGTATATTAATAAAAACAAAATTAATTAAAATAATCTTATTTCTGTAAATATGTATATGTTTGTATATGCATATCAAATTTGAATAATTTATGTTATTTATTTAAAAGAACACTACGATAATATTATTATTTTTTTATAATTTTAACATCCTGTACAACAAAAACAAGCATTATTTGAATAAGAACCATCTAATACTTCTAAAACAAAAACTAGTTTCTTAAACAAATTCTCTTTGGAGATGTTGCAACATTTTTAAAAATATACCTATATATTTTTTAATATGAAAAACCCTTATTCCGATTTTATTGAACCTTTGTGTATTTCTTTATGAAAATAATGCTTAGCTTTTGATGTATTAGGGTTATTATTATTATTATATTATTATTATTATTATTATCTCGCTTCGTTTTCGAGTAAAACACACATGCTCGAAATTTTGAGATATTTAAAAATAGAAAATACAACATTTTTATTTATAATGACATTAAATAAACAAGTTCGGCGCAAACAGAATTTAAATTGAAGTTTGCGAAAAAAAGTTAGTTTTTCCTGTTGCCTCACCCACCTCCAGGCCCCCCTATTTGAGATAATTTAAATTAAAGTCGTGCAATTTATTATCTACTATAATTTATCGACTAATTTAAAATTTTATTTAAAAAATCCAAATATTACAGATTTTATTCAATTTTAAATTTATATTATTTATTGTCATTAACTTGTCTATTTAATGTTATTATTATAAACTATTATAAATTTGGTGTGGGTCCCATGTCTAATAACTGAGATATTGGTATACCCAAAATCCCTATAAAAATATTATATTATATATAGCCGCCACTATTATTATATTATATCATATTATAAACTGGACCACCCTATATATTGTAACGGCTTATACAGTAAATAAAAATAAGAGTGTTTTAAAATTAGTTTATTAGAATTATCGTTAGGCAACCACGTTAACATACAATTTATTATATGCAGTTAGGTATTGTAAACCCGACTTTTTTATTGTGACATCGTAAACACGGCTTTGAGGTTATAAACAATGTTTATTCCTAAAGTTATCATAAATCTTCAAAGTATATTAAATAAATCGATTTGGGAACCTCTGTTGAGCTGCAAAATTCATGAAAAAGTTATTGGTATCGTATTTAAGTAATTAATTAGTTAAGTTAACTTACCATATTTGAGTTTTTTATAAATATTTGTCGCCCAATCGGATGAGATTGAGTAAATCCTTGACAGCGAATTTGCGGGAAAAGGCCATTGTGATTTTATGTGCTCGAGACAATAAGTTGCAGGCAAAATTAACGCAATATTTTTGAGCATCATTGATTGAGAATCATCAATTTGGTCGTTATAATCACGTTAAGGCCATCTAACATCTAAGGTAAACAATATTTTCATTACTTCGGCGAGTTTTCCTGTATTTTATCAGCAAGCTTAACGGTGTTTCTCTTTTCAGGCCTTTTCATCTTAATTATTCAAGTTTTTAGTCGCTAGTTTGATATCTTGATTGTGTATGCCTCGACTACGTTGTAAGATATTAGCAAGCATATTTTGGCTGGTGTAAACTTTATTAGATTTTACCACTGGAAAATATTTGGAGGTTATGATTACTCTGATCTAACATTTTTGGAGAAATACTTACTGAACAACACCTTGCTGTTACCATCTTGTAAAGTACACATATCAGAGCTATAATTGCTGCTTTTGCTGTTGGTATGGAACCCTAACATGGCTTCACTCAAAATACTAGAAATTTAATACCGAACAGAAGTTTTTAGTGATTTATTTACTTATGTAAGCCAGAGACCTTGTCTCTGATGTAAGCTACTCACATGTGCAAGGTATTTATGTATTTGGTTAATAATTTTATTATTTTGTTCGGTTGACATAAAACTTGGTAGGTATAATTGGCACCTACAGTCCAACATTTAAATTCAAGATTGTTTTAACGATTCTACTGGAATTATTAAAGAATTTAGGTTATTTTTTTATTTCAAATAAAGAAAGTAGAGTTTTGTTACTTTAAATTCATAAAAAAAAATTTATTGTTAAAAGAACCATTTTCCTTTTACCTCTTCTACCCTTGTCGAAAGGTTACTTTTGGCTGGCGCCAATAATAATTAATAATAACCATCTGTAGGTGAGCAAAAAGTAAGTATTTTTTTTGTTATTTAAAATTCAGGGGTCGTACTCGCTTCATATTTTATGCAAAACTTCATATTTTCACCCTTGTTCACAAAAAGTTCGTAAATTACGAAAAATATTCATAAAATATTCATATTTTTTAATTTTCTAACAAAGATTAATTATAACTAGAGATGGCAGATGCTCGAGCGCTTTGCAAAGCGCTCATAAATGCTCATAAGCGCTCATAAATGCTCGAGCATTTATAAACGATGAAATATAAATTTTATTAAAAAAAATTATTGAAAAAAAAAATTAATTGAAAAAAAAATTTCAACAAAGTAGAGTTACTTAAGTAAACTAAGGTTCATTTAAATAAATATGTATTGTAAAGTTTATATAAAAAGTTTTTATTAAAAATACATTTACACATTTACATAGATACAGTACAAAAAATAATATTTTGTTTATTTTAAAACATAAAATGGTTGGTTGACATAAATAATTTTTTGTGTGTCCATGTCGCCTTCTTCGTCAGATCTATTGGTGGAAACTTCAATGTTCGTCAAATTGTTAGCACTTTCATTTTCAATTTCCATATAATTTACAATACGTAAATTGTTATTAAGTTTGATATCATCTTCATATTTTGCTTCTGTGCTAACAGTTTTAAAAGACAATATTTCTTTCCCAATCTCGTCCTCATTTGTGTCATTTACAACTTCATCAGTATCATTGCCCATTATTTCATCAATGTCATAATTTTCCATCATTTCGACATCATTGCTACCCAGGCTTTCTTTTTCCTCTTCATCATCCATCTCTTCTTCTGTATATATTTTAACACCCTCACTATTTATTGACATCTTTTGATGTGCACACTTCAAATCATTTGAAGACAATAGAATTTATCATAACCAACTTTTCAGTTTTCTCAACTGTTAGCCGGTTTCTTTTTTTTGTTTTTATCAATGAGTGTGTTTTCCAGTTACGTTCACAGCTAGCTGAGCTTGATGGAAATTTGAGAATTCGTACAGCTACTTTACAAATAACTTTGCTGGAACATAATCCATTCCACCATGGTATAGCATCTGTACACATAGCAGCTTTCCAGATTATGTCTTTTTCCCAAATATTACTTTTAGCCATGTAATTCACATAATCATTTAATAATTCAGACTCTTCAAGTTTCAAGTTTTTAGTACCTACTTCCAAAATATAATTTAAGCCAATATTTTTCTCATTTTCACTTAGACCTTCACCTTTTAGCTTTGGATTTAGAATATATACAGCTATATGCAGATCATAAATAAGAAATGCCTTTCTTCTTTCCAAAATGTCTTTGATCTTGATAGATTCACTAACTGAAAGATTATCGCTGGCATCATTTACGTTTTTTTGAACATCAATCATATCAGGCTTTACGAAAGATATTGCACCACTTTTGTCGCCTTCCACAATTTTTATGGCCTTGGAAATTGGATCCAATATCATATGACACATCTTAAACTTTATCCAAGTGTCATAATTGATTATGTGTCTCTTCAAATCCAAATCAATAATTTTCAGAATTTGTTTGTCAAACACAGCAGCCTGTATAGAGTCAACATTTTTTATTAGTCTTTCAAAACAATCATTTACTGTACTCCACCTTGTCTCAACAGGAGTCAGGAGAGATGATTCTTTGTCAGATTGTTCAGTTTTAATTTTTTTCAAGATTTGACGAGGTAATTGCTTGTTTTTGAAGAATTGTATTATTTTCTTTGCAATTGAGAACATTTCAGAAAAAGTCTTCAATTTGCAAATATCCTTTGCCATAAGATTAAAGGAATGTGCAGAACATCCATATGTAGTAATAAAAGGATATTTTTTATTTATTTGCATCCAAGCAGCCTTCATTAATGGTGCATTATCTGTGCATATTCCACAATTTTTTACTACTCCTATATCTTTGATAACACCATCAAAAATTTCAAAAATATATTTTGCTGTATGACGCTCTGTCTTGGAATCAATTGTTTTAATGAATACTGGTTCAGGGGTAGCTGCTAAAATATTGATCAATGAAATGCCATTGACATCTGTCCATCCATCACTCAAAATTGTTATTGAATCTGAGGATTTCAACTTTTCTTCAGTTGCTTTTTTCACTAATTTATATTCATTATCTAATAGAGTTTCTACAATAAGTTTCCTGGAAGGTGGCTTATAACTGGGCTTCAAAAGCTTTAAAAATTTGACAAAATGTTCATTTTCAATAAAAGAAAATGGGACAGCACCACTATAGAAAGCTCGTGCCAATGTTTGATTAGCATTAGATTGAGAATTTCTATCCATTGTATCGAAAAACCTTTTTATTGTTTGGTTTGCAATTTTTGGAGGATTATTGTGCACTGGTGTGTGAGTAGAACTGGTTAAAATAAAAGGCGAAGAAGCTACTGACTTGCTTTCCGTAATGGTTGAAGTAGAAGTTGAAGAAACTATTGGCATGCTTTCCGTTATGGTTAAAGTGGATAGCGAAGAAGCTATCAGCTTGCTTTCCGTTATCTAAAAATTACTAAATGTAATTTTTTACTAAAAATACATGCAAAATAACTTACATTCTGACTTGTTATATTTCCAGCAAAAAGCTTCTTTACTTCTGGTGGGCATTGTTCACATCTTTTAAGATGTTTTATCATGCGAATACTATGTGCCAAGTACTCCATATTGCAGAAATTGCAAGTAGCATATTTTTTTTTTGCTTTTAAAAGTTTTAATAAAATAACTCCAAACCTTAGTTTCATTTTTAACCATTTTGGAAACCGCACCCTTTTGTGACCTGCACTTGTTCTGATGTAAAGAGTTATTTGTTGGTTAATTTATAACCCTGCTTTTTAGTGTTGGCGCCAAATTTTTGGCGCCAAATTCAAATATCGAGCACTTTGGTAAATGCTCAAGCATTTATTTATGAGCGCTCGAGCATTTATGAGCACTTATGAGCGCTTTTGAAAGTGCTCATCCTTCTCTAATTATAACAGTAACAATATATTTAAATTATAAACTATCCCTTTGTGATACCCCTGGGACCCACACCAAACATTTGAGAAAGTCATGCACTTTTTCTAGATACTCTTAACATTTGAACGACACAATTTTTGCCCTATGATATTTTTTTTATTTTTTGGTATTGCACGTAAATTTTCACTGTTTCTCTTAAAACATATAAAGTGTGTCCCACCGAAAACTTTCAATGGCCAATATCTTTAAAAGGAAAATAGACACAAGGCACCTTTAAACTCACCCCGATCTACCACAACAGGGGTAGCAACCCCAACTTCAAAATTTTCAATGGCACTATAGGTCATGTGATAACTTGTTCGAAAGGTCTTTTAATTCTCTAAACGATTCTGCAAAAAATATTAATGCAACTTTAAATATTTCTCTAATTTTAATAAAAAAACTGATCGAGTGCAATTAATAAAAATTGCAATTATTATAAGTAAAATATTTTAATTAATTAATTAAATGTTCAAAATGTTCTCCATTATTCTGAAGACAATAGTAAAGGCGATTTTCAAATTCTTGTCGTACTTTTTCTAAAGTTTCTGGTGTGATGTTTTGGCATGCTTCAACTATTCGATGTCGTAAATCTTCTACCGACTCAGGTGGAGTCTGATAAACTACATACTTAATGTATCCCCATAAATAAAAGTCCAAAGGGGTTGGGTTGCCATTTGCCAGGAAAACGTAAGTTGAGCCAATTTCTGACTGGCAATGCATAATGAGATGGTGCTCCGTCTTATTAAAAGTGAAGGTTCTCCTCACTAAGCATGGGGTTTCCATCCCTATCTCTCTGATTTTCGAATTCTTCTGTAATTAATACATCAATAGTTTCTTTCAACAAGTTTAGATAGATATCTCCCGTAAGATTTCCTTCAATGAAAATTGGGCCAATAATTTTATTTCCCAAAATGCCGGCCCACACATTTAATTTTTGAGGGTGCTGAATATCTTTCTCTACAAAAATGTAAGCATTGTTATCACTCCAGTACCTACAATTTTGCTTATTGACCTGTCCATTTAGGAAAAACGTGCATTCGTCGCTGAAACAAATATTTTGAATAAGTGTAGGGTCTTCATTTATTCTCGCCGTTATAACTTTACAAAATTCGACTTTTCGATCTGGATCTTCATCGTGTAACGCTTGTAAAGCTTTCATTTTATAAGGGTGAAACTTATGTTTTTAAGTACTCTCCAAACAGAATTTTTAGAAAGGCCTGTTTCTCTAGATACTTGCCGAAGTGAAATGGAAGGAGAAATTGCAAACTGGCCGAGTACCTAAAATTATTCTAATTAGTTTTAAGGCATTATGCTTAAAATTTGTGCAGAGTTCAAAATAAAAAAATATATTTACCTCTATTTGAGCATTCTCTGCAAGGATGCGAGGTTGTTCCCTTTTTTTATTCTTTACGGATCCAGTTTCTCTAAATTTGGCCACAATATTGTTAACATGAGTATGGGACAAGTTTTTATCTGGATGTCTCACTCGAAACTCCGCAGCAGTCCTGTAGGCAGATTGATTTTAACAGCATAACAGCAAAAAATTAAACTTTTTTTATTGGATTGATAAAAATAATACACTAAGATGCAGTAAAAAGGGGTTTAAAAGAACAAAATCTTTATTTTTTTTTCAAAATCTTAAACAATTTTACTTATTACGTTAACATTCGATTTCCCATCACATTTACTAATTGCACCCGATCAAATGAGTTTTTTTGTCAAAATTAGAGAAAAATTTAAAGTTACATTAAGAGTTTTTGCAGAATCGTTTAGAGAATTAAAATACCTTTCGAATAAGGTATCCCATGACCTATAGTGTCATTGAAGATTTTGAAGTTGGGGTTGCTACCCCTGCTGGGGTAGATCGGGGTGACTTCAAAGGTGCCTTGTTTTGGTTCCCCCTTCGAACCCTCGAAACGGGTTTTTCATTTTTTTTCTATCTATTCTACTTTTAAAGATAATGGCCATTGAAAGTTTTCGGTGGGACACACTGTATGTGAAAAAAATTCTAATACTTTTTAAGTTATCCCATTTACAGAATTGTCAGGTTTCACTGTTGGACCCTGTACTTTTACCTATTTTGATGTTTGGTAAAGTAAATTTTTAGGTTTATGTTGAATAATAAAATAATTTTATTTATTTTTGTTAACTATTAGAATTTTATTTATTTATGTTTACTAAAAGTACCAAATATTATATGTAGCCAATAATTTTTTTTAAAAGGATATATCTTTGTTCATATGTTTCTCGAGCTTTGTCTGTACGACCCCTGAAAATTGAACTTCGCTAAAATATAAAATACCTATGCTTTGTTCATAATTACAGGTTATTATAAAACGAAATTTATTTTTTTGTTAAGTGTGTAATAAGGATTTGGAAATATTATTTTTATAGTTTTATAAACCTTTTGAACACATTCATATAAATGATTTGTTAAACTTTTTTCAGCCATATTAAAAATAATTAACCTGTTTTTGTTATTCATATTAATTGATATATCATGTATACATGATAAAAATCAATTAAAATGTTTAATGTTAAATATTATTTTTTTTAACGTGTTTCCTATTAATTGTTAAATAATAAAAATAAAAACAATTGCATTTTTTATAAGTTTAGGTTGATCCTAATGCACTAAAATGTAAGTGTGTTTATATTTAAAATATTATTTTATCCTTTACATTTTTCAAGCCCTTTCAACCCTTTGATCATCTTAGTTATTATAGATCTTACTCTATTAGTACACAATTACATGCCAATACTTGCAAAATATTTATACATTTAAAGTGTATCCTTTATTTAAAAAACATTGACACTATACTATATACTACATATATGTACTGTCAAAAAAGAATACTGCAGTTTCATTTTTGTCAGGGCCAATTCAAATTAATATTTTTTTGGCGACAGCTTCACCGAGATTTGGCTATAGCTATCATTGATAAGTGACCTGATACGTGTATATGCCGTATAATCCTGGATTTGGATTTCATATTAAACACTCCTAAAAAATCCTCGGGCTATTCGTGCCAAACTGGCAATTGACAAACATTATATTAGTAAAGGCCTAGCAACACAATATTTAGGTGACTCTTGAGTACTCAACTTTCTTGCTATTACCAATCTAATATTAAAACTTGTAATGAATATTATATTCATACATTCGTATGTTTTCTAAAAGTAGGTTTATCCTAGTACACTAATACGTTTGTGTATTTGTTAGAAATACATACCATTTGTATATATATTTTTTAAAATATTACAGATGCTTTGTAAGGAGACCATACCGTTAAATTTGCTATTTGTTACACTCTTCATTTTTGGAATATTTTTATATGTGAATTTATTTTGATACGACTGGAAATATAAATATATCAGTGAACTTATCGCACATTTTGGGTTTGACATTAGTTAAGCTAAAAGTCCCCGAACTGGCTAGGATATTAACAAACATTACTATGTTACAAAGTTTTTGGGAAAGCTAAGTACTTGTATTTTTTCTAAAAGTAGGTTTATCCTAGTACACTAATACGTTTGTGTATTTGTTAAAAACTCATACCGTTTGAATATATATTGTTTTAATATAAACAGACGTCTGCTTTGTTAGGAGATCATACCGTTAAATTTGGTACTTGCTACACTTTTCATCTTTGGATATTTTTACTTGTGTGGCTATTTGTACTTATTTTAGTCTTAAGAGCTGGCTACGGAGGGGTAGGGGTGACTCGGTGCAGTGGAAATTTTATCAATTACAGGCTCGGTTGTTACCGACATAGCGTAAATGGCCCTGTACGAATAACGCGAGGGTTGGGGGTTAAATATGCAATTTTTTCACGTAAAAAAATTGATAAGGTGCAGTGCTAAAAACAAGTAGGTGGAAGATAAAGAACCGTCAGAAGGCGCTGATGTTGCGAACAAATTTGCAAAATTATGCGACTAGTTGCAATTTTTATACTCATTCTCGAATTCAAAACTAGATCGCCTGCAAAATGCCAGAAGGCTAAATGGAAGAAGGAGCGAGATATTAGCGATATTCAGAGCGTCGGTGGCCCACGCAGTGACCCAATTTAATTTATATTTTATTTCATGGAGTGCACTTCTGGCGATTTTATTAACATAATTTAAGATATTTCATGACTACACTGGACAAATGCCAGAAGTCAATTGCGAAGACAACAATTTTTTATAGAATAACATGGAGTTTATTTTTATTTGTACTTCTAGTACAACATATACCTTTAACACTAATCTAATACTAATTGAATATTCGTACTAATGGACTACGAATATTAACATTAATTTAATATTTATCTAATAAAATATTATTCCGTTGAGGAGGGTTACCTTTTTTATGTCGTCATCAAATTCAATGTCCTCGTCGCTGTCATACGTTGTGTTAATTAATAATTTATTAAAATTGGTAAATTATAACAATCGAATTCAAAATAACCTTCCGAATTATTACTATCAAGGACAACGTCTTTGACAGATGGTGGTAATTGCGGTCCTTCAAACCATTTAAATTGATACTCGGATCCGTTTAATATCCATCCGCTATTTTCGGCTTCTAATTCGTATGGATCAAATATTGCGGCATTCTTCCATATATTTGCAATGTAATTTGCTCTTTCCATCTGTTGGTGTAATTTTGATCAAACAATTCATATTGGAGCGTATTTACCTTTTCGCAAGATTTGAAACCATACATACTACGAACAATAATGGAGAAAATACTGTCTTTATTTACATCCGTATTGCCTAACTCAGGATTTGACTTCAGAAGAATTTTATAAGGGCGATGTTTTCCTTTCCTAAAAAAGCGGGATTATAGTCACATCCCGATAGTGCATGGAATCCCGGTAATGCTTTGCACAATGCTAATCCCAGGGATTCATGAAGCGCATTGACATCGATGATGTGACGTTTGTCGGAAGTTCCGCATTCAATCTATATTTTTGATTTAATTTTATGTAAATTTGCCAACAAAATAACTACTATATCTGTATCGGAACACTTTGTGACAATATTGGAATTTGGATGAATTTTAGAAGCATGGTATATTATCTTAGTATCAGCCTCTTCGTGCGCAGAACAGCAAAATTCTGCATTCACTGTTCGAATGACAGTACCATCAACATCGACTTGGTATTAGTAACATTCTACATAATTTAGCACTGTTGTTTTACTATGAATGAACATACCCACTTCCTGAGTTTGCCAGTGTGAAATCAAAAATTCTACTAAAGCCTCTTAAAATTTATCACCACGCAGTTCTTTTGAGAAATCAGTTGATCTAGTTCGTTCTGGACCAGATATGCAACGAACGCTCGTAATCCTTGATGGTCGACTATACCGGTCAAAAACTATGTGTATGCACGGAGCATCATAACTGCAGAGAATTTGTAAGATTACCGAAAGATTTTGGCACGTCTTTAATGCAATGAATTAAAAAGAATCCGTCAACAATTACAATATCGGTTGCGGGAGGTAACGTACCGTTGTTAGGAAAATTTTATTAACGCAGATTTTCTAGTCTTGCAAATTGTGCCATCTAAGTTACATAATGACGTGGGTATTGGAGTCATAGGATACGAGAGCATTTTTTCAATACCTGCCCACTCTTTTATCGAAATACCCAACATCCGACCGAACAGATCGCGTTGCATCCGAACCTCATGCACTTTATGATTCACTGTGATTTTACGTATATTAACGAACTTATAAAATCATTCTATTCATAATAAATGTAAACTACCTGTATCTAACATAAATCAATTATCAAACAAACGCAAACCAATATTGTTAAGAAAGCGTGATGGCGAGCAGAGAGGGGAAAACGGCCAGAGGGATTGTATAAATGTAATGAGCCGAAAACGGTAATCGGCGATGAAAGGCAAGCAATTATTAGTAGTGAAATAGGTGTGAATAACGCAACTAGCTACTATTCGTAGACGTCCACCGAACACATATAGGTCAGAGGCAAAACTGCGGCAGCAGTTTAGTATTTTCAAGTCTACACTAGCAAGGCCAAGCAAAGCAAATTGGAAATTCATTACAAAATAATAATTTTACAAGTACTTACAAATCGGTACGGCGGTGTTATTTGCGATGTGCACAGGTCACGGGCGAAACACAAGAAGCCCTTCTTCTTCCGTCACTCCTCCGCGTTCCACTTCCAGGCATTGAAACCGCGCGAGCGCGCACGCGCCTGTCCCGCCTAGTATATTCTATACAGCGTACGAAAATCATTCATAGTTAAATAGGTATTTACGGCTTCATAGACCCAATACAGACGGCGCGGCTTTCTCTACTTTCTAATATTCTCCAAATCATCCGAAACAGTACAAAACTTGAGTTCTACGACCCTAAATAATGATTTTACAGAAATCAAGTAACTTCGTTACATTCCCCTCTCACGGGAAAAAAAAGAAATTTATTTCTTTTTTTCCTTTACCCCCACGAATAACATAACGACAGAAAAAGAAAATCACGCTTCCGAAATTCAATAATTATCCCTAAACTAAAACTAAGGACCCTTTCACGGCAAGAAACTTAACTGTAAAAAAACTCAACGGCCAGTAGCGGCAAGTAATAAAGATAAACTAAAAATAACTTCACCTACGGCTTGGCCTCAGCCGGATGCCGCAGGTCCTGTTCGCAGAACCCTTTTGCCTCGGAGACGGAGGCGCAGCATTCCACGGCGGTGGTCGGGGCGTCCAAACCTCCAGCAGACGTCCTTCGGGAAGTGAGTAGTGCTGTTATGGATGGGTGGATAGGCCCAGGATGAATATCCACCCAATTGGCCAGGTTTGGAATTAACTGGTGGCATTGTCTACCTCTTGTGCTGTTGTCCCACTGTTCTTGCCAGTAAGCAATTAGGCGCGTTCTCAGGAAACTTCGGGCTGCGGTAAGGCTCTCGTGGTGGTCTAGGTCCACCATCCGACCCAGGAAGGTTGTTCTTCCTTGGTTCTTGAGGTCATGGATGGCAAGGTTTTCTTTAATAATCAGGTCAATGGGTGGGATCTCCGCCACCACACTGAGGGAATTGTCCGGGGTGGAGCGGTAGGCTCCCAAGATGAGTCTAAAAGCCGTGGCTTGGGCTCTTAGTAGGTGTCGGCTGTCCTTATATTGGTGAATTCTGTGGGACCAGATCTGTGCCGCATATGAGACGATTGGGATTATGACCATTTGGTATATTTGCATCATATTTTGGACAGTAGGGATGCCCCATCTGCCTCGAGTGTATCTTCTTAGCTGGTGGAATATAGTTATGGCCTTGTTTGTTACATACTGAATGTGTTTGTTGAAAGTCAGATTTTCGTCTAATATAACCCCCAGAAGTTGAATCCTTTGATTGTTTATATGGAAGGATGGGTTCCTTTTTAGCCTTGGAAATGTTAGCAAGTATTCAGATTTTGCAGCTGATATGGTCAGTTTATGATTTTGGGTCCAGCGATGAACCATATTAAGTGCTGTACTGGCTGTTTGTTCCAGTTGGGCTCTGGTGCCTGCCTTTATGACAAGGGTATGTCATCTGCGTAGGCAGTGATTTTACAGTTTTCCGGATAATTAACGGTCAGAAGACCGTCAACCACCAGATTACACAAGGTTGGGCCAAGTGCTGAACCCTGCGGGCAGCCTCTTGTGAGTACTTTCGTTGTTCTGTGGTTATTGGTTTCGTGGTGGATGTTCCTATCGCTTAGATAGCTTTTGAATATTCCTAGTAGTTTGTCCGGGATGTTCTTATGAAATAGCGCTGTAATGGCCGAGGGCCACCACAGCGCATCAAATGCCCCAGAGATGTCCAGGGCTATTATTGCGGTGTGCCTGCCATCCTGCCTGGCAGACTCCATGATGTCTTTTAAAGCAGTGGTAGTGGACTTTCCGGGGCAAAAACCATGCTGTTTTATGTCAAATAGTTGGTCTTCAGCTTTGGTATCTTTTAACTTTTCGAGTAGTATTCTTTCAAAAAGTTTACCCAGCTCACAAAGTATGGTTATAGGCCTATGACTTGGGCGCAGATGGATCCTTGTCTATGGATTTTAAGATAGTGACCAAGCAGCCTTCCTTCCACTTCTCTGTAAAGTGTTTACATTGGAGGCAGCTATTATAGATGGTCACAAGGTGGCCTGTTATAGCAGGTTCTAGAAGTTTTAGCGCTTTACCCGGGATGTTGTCGGGTCCTGGGGCTCTATCATTTCTTATTTTGGCAATACAGCCGGAAACATCATCCGGGGTGATGGCGATCTGCTGGTTTAAGCCAATGCACTCCTCTGCTAAGAGGCGCATGTTTCGATGAGATTGAGTGTCTTGATCGGGGTCATCCGGCGGCATGAGTGTTTCGAGGATTTTGCCGAAGCAATCCTCTATCGTCGTTTTGGCATTGGCTCCAATCTGAAACGTGGGTAGAACGGGCGGTGAGATTTTTCCTGCTGCAAGTTTATAGGTGAAAGACCAAGGGTCTTCGGATAAGGTGTTATTCACGAAGTCATCCCAGGATCTGGAGCGAGCATTGGCAATGGCTTGTTTGTATTCTCTGAGAGACAGCAGGTAGACAGTCCTCTGTCTCTGTCTGAGGTCGTAGTTTGCCTGTCTTTGGTAAAGTTTACGTTTTCCCCTAAGTTGTGCTCTCATTTTATCGAGTCCCTCGTGCCACCAAGTGCACGCAGTGACTCGTATGGACTTTTTTGGTAAAACCCGGTTCATGGTGTCGTAAATTAAGTCAGAGAGGGATTCGACGGCCTCATTGATTTGGTCTGGTGTGTGCAGTTTCGGAAGTGGTTGTTGATTTATTTGGTTCTGGACAAGTTCAAGTAATAGCTCATTTTCACTCTGAATTTGAATATGGGCCTGTCATAAATAGTGGCGTGACGTTCGGTTTGATAGGTCAAAGATCATTTTGTGATCCGATTGTAAGGCTTCCTCATGGAGGGTCCAGCTTGTCAGGTTGTTCATGATGTTGCCTGATGCAAGAGTCGCATCTATGTGACTGGATCCGTTTACAGTAGAAAAAGTCGGCGCATGGCCGACTGTGTTGGCGACATGTAAGTCATAATAGGCAAGGAAGGTTTCTAGTTCCTCTCCCCTGCAATTCCTTGCTGGAGAGTTCCAGAGTGGGGAGCAGGAATTAAGATCACCAGCGATAATAATATTATTTCTTCCGACGTCCTGGATTAATGATCTTGCTAGCATCAGGGTTGTTTGAACTGGTTCATCTATGGGTAAGTATATACTAAGCAGGTAGATTTTATTGCCCAAGTGGGTGATTTCGGTGGTAGAAACATTTTGTGATGAGTATTGTGGTAGAAATAGGGCATCTATGGCCCGGTTTATTATGATCACCGAAACACGGGGCTTGGTGTGAGTGATGTGAGCTTGCTCGTATACTGGCCTAGACCGGGAATCTTGTAACGGTTGTTGGTTACTCGGACACAGTACGGTTCCTGAATAAGTATGACATCAAGTTTATCCTGTGTAATGAGGGCAAGTAGTTCCCTGGTGGCAAGCCTGGAGTGGTTTGTGTTGATCTGTGCTATACTGAGAAATCTGCTAGTCATATAAGGTATTGTCTACGGCTTCGGCCAGCTTTCTTTTATATACCTGACAATTGGAGCTGGACGCTTCATCGGCAGCATGTTCGTCTTTATGGCCAGTATTAGTACAGTTGATGCATATTGGGTCTTGGTTATTGGTGGGACATTTATCAGTGTTGTGTTGCTTGGCACAATGTGCGCAAGCTGGTGCTTTGGCTCTGCATGATGAGGACATGTGCCCGTATTGCTGGCAATTGTGACACCTGGTCACTCTGATGTGGTCTGACACTCTACATTTGCTCATGCCAATGTAGAGTTGGTCGTTATTTAGTATGATTTTCCGAGCTCTTGGGGTTGTTTGAACTATCCAGTGGACTGTGCTGGAATCTCTTGGTCCAAACTTGAACTTTACAAGGACTCCGTCTTTCAGGATGTCCTGTTGGTCATTGGTTAGCCCGTCTGAATTTTGGGCGATTATCGCCTCTTCTACCTCCTCTGCATCAAGCAAGGCCGGAACATGATATATGGCAAGTCTTGCCGGTCGTTTGGTAGGGACCCTCAGTACCAGGCCTTTCTCTTTTAGAGCCTGTGTGCTCAGGGCACTCAAGTCAAATTTGCTGGACTCCAGTCGGAGTCCACCCGCTGGTAGTTTGTTGACTTTGTCAATCTTGCAGCCTGTTTGTCTAGGTCTTAGTATTGTGGTTAATGCGGCTCTTGTTTGGTCTGAGGTAAAACTCTTAGTGTGCTCATTGTCAGCGTCTGGGTAAACCAGAACAACTGAGGTGTTTGTGGTTGGTACAGTTTTGCCGTTGGGAGCTTGACTGTTGTCCGAATAGCTGCCTTTGCAGCGTAGGTGGTTTCGTTAGATGTTGCATGGCATTGGCTCAATCCGCCAAGCTTGGCGCCGAGCATTTCCTCCAGCACGTCCATTGGGACGGTTTGGCTGGGCTTAAGTAGTAGGTCTTGGTAGGAGTTGTAAATCAGATCCAGACAGGACAGCAGGGAATTTCTTTTAAGCTTCGATTGGATAAATGAACACACACTCAACCAAATAGTTGCATGAATAAAAAGAAAAGGTTCATAAATTTAATGAAAAAATCATTAAAATTGGTCCAAAGAACTGCTTCTTTAATTAAATTACTAAAAAATACAAAAAAAACACAAGATGAATATCAAAACTTATGTTATAAACACATTTTATAATGTCGAAATATATTTCAGAATGCAAAAAAAAACATAATAACGTAAAGAACACAGTTTTATTCAATTTTTATTTGTTTAAATGTTTTAAAATTTACTAATTTACAAATTTAAAGATGGTATACTATATATACTATACTATTATACTATGTATAATTTAAGAATCTTAAAAATTCCGCCACATATTCATGTGTTAAATTCGACTAAGTCAAAATTATAAATTTTTGTTGTAAAATATTAGTATATAAACTATGTAAAACAGAACAACTCTACCTTTAATACGTATCGTCGGTTTACATTAAAATAAACATTTAACTAGGGTGTTCGTAACCAAGTTTTTTAAAATCTGCTTTTAAACCGCAACAAAAATAATGTAACTTAAGTCAAATCCACACAAGCGGATACGTAGAAAGTATCACAATCGTCCCGACTCAGAAGCGCATGCGCGCGCCAAAAGTTATTGTAGAAATATCGACTCTGCGATTTAAAAAACTTATTACTCAATTTAAAGCAAATATGGTATATTTACTTACGATGCAAGTGAGTTAACAGCATCATTAAGATGAGCGTGTGAAAGTTGCACAATTATATTAATGGTGTTAACTCATGTGTACAATATTTTATCTAAGACAAAAAGTAATGTTTTTCAGGATTGTAATAAAGGATATTATGACATTTCAAGGAGGTTTGTAGGTAAGGTTATTATTTTATCATATTATTTAATATTTACTTAATGGTTTAATAAGGTTCATTATAAATTTACAATTTAGTTATTAACAAATTAGTTATTATAAATAGAGTTCATTTAATTGGTCAAGTAATTAGGTATTACAATAAAAATGCGTTTTTAATCAGAAAAATTTATTTATTATAATATATATAATATAAATATATTTAATAGTGACAATGCTATGTTCATTGATTCATTTATTGTAGGTCTTCTAATAGAATTATTTTTTACATTTTTTGTTTTCTTTTTTGAATATAATCTCTGTGTTTGAATTTTTTTATTATGTGGAGCTTTATCTTTAACTAAAAGAGTTATTTTGTTTTTATTTGTATTTTCCAGAGCTTGTAAATTAAATGTTAATGGTGCTACAGCATTACGAAGCACTTCAAGCTGTGCTTTTGTTTTGATATTATGAGTAGCATCCAAAAATTGCTGAATTATTTTATCTTTCTCCTTTAAAATGTTTTCCTCCTTGGATTTTATTGATCCTTGGTTTAGATTGTTCACTATGGATTCTGATTCTGTTAGAATGGCTTTATTTTCAAGGTCTTCAGGTGTTTCCAGGTCTTAAACAAAAATTACATTATTTTACTATATAATGACAGCTTCATAGCAAAAAATGTTTAATATACAAAACATTAACAAAAAAATCACTACCTTATTTGATAATGTGACCTAGTAAAACATACACACAATACCCAGCAAACCAAAAAAAATCATAGTCAATATGAATAAAGAGTAGTACTTACATGTTTAACACATGTGTTTCTTTCTCTTTTTAAGTAAAATAATTTTCTAGTATTTATGCTTAGGGGCAAATAAAAATAGTAAAAAGTATTTGCTTTTTTTTTAAATGCCTTTTTACAGGAATATACCAATAAACCCTATAAATACACCCATTAAAGAAATAAAAACCCATAACAAAAAAATTTCCAAATCTCCAAGCAAAGTACCTAAACACCTATTATACGAATAAAACTTTCTATATATATGTAAGCTTCAACTTACATATTTTTTCTTTTCAATCATTGGTATTTTCACTGAAAACAGTAAATTATGTATTTTTTTATATAAACAGAAAACACCTATTACATAAAATAAAATTAATATTTACCTAAATCAACAAAAGCAACACCATCGTTTCCTAATAAAATGTTTTCTTTCCTACAAACAAGGTGAATATGTTTGCACATTGTCCATTTGATGGAAGAGTCTGGACATGAACAAAAATATATATGTAGACATATATTATTACACTCACTGCAAATTAACTGACATGTGCAGCTAGTTTTATTTTTTTTTACTAAATATACTTCAAAGTTATTTAAAGATGATGATATAATTTTCCATCCATCATCTGTTTGGTTTACTAAAGATGTATCTAACTGCAGGCTTTTTTTATGTCTGTCTCGAATTTGTTTTAATTTACTTGTAACTTTTCTCTTATGGATTGTGATTAATCTGTCAAAAAGTCTGTCTCTGATAAATTTCATTATACAAATATTGGCTTTGTATAGTCTTTTGTTGTGTTTTCCTTTAAGATAAATATATTTTAAGGTTCTATGCATCCTCTCTAAGTGCATATTTGTGTTGATTCCAGCATGAAGTCGGTAGGAATATCCCTTTCCTCCATAAGACATCTAATTTGTTTGTAAACCAGAACCTGTGACCAATATATGTGTATTTGAAACAACTGATCCCTTATAAAATGTAAATGTTATATTTACCTGTTTGTCTTTGCCATTAATTTTATTTAAATTTTTACGCCAAGCGCGATCTACGTGCCAACTGCAGTACAATCTGTAATAAATATAAAAAAAATAAGTAAATGAAGTACAACAGTGAAGTAGCGCTAATACTCCAAACGCCCGCCACTGTGGACTTCTTACCCCATAACAGTTGACTACTTTTTTTGTAATTTTATGTGCTATAAAGTACATAGTTTTTATGGTTTATTTTTTTTGCCTTTCATTATTAAAAATTTGTTTCTTTTAGTTTATAAATCAATATTTTTTTAATAAATAAATTTTAAAAAATATCATGCCTGGGGGCAGTAAAAGATAAAAATTTGTAAAAAATGTATTTAATTTTGGGCCCAAAATAGATTTTTACGTGGGGGATTTGTCACTAGGCTCCTGCAATTGAACCAATAAATTTTAATCCTTCTTACCTTAAAGTTGGCATACCCATTGTTTCTATCCAACCATTGTAGAATGACTCTGCAATGTCTGTCATAAAAACAGTTATGACATCAGAAAATCTTCTTATGGTCGAAAAGAATATCTTCATGGCCTCTTTATCACATCGATTGGTAAACATAAAAGCACAAGGAAAGCCTTGTCTCATATCATCTATTACTAATAAGGTAATTAATTCAAAATTATACCCATTGGTACCATGTGTGCCATCTAGGCAGATGCAATCTGATCCATATTTTTTTAACAAATGACACTGTGCTGAATTCATTATAATTAAAATAAAATCTTCTTTTTTTAAGTTCTTATAATCCTCACTAAGTGTGTCTTGGGGTTTATAAAATAAAACACAGCTATTTTCTTCTTGACTCATTTAAGTCACCAAAGAATCAACACTTATAGCATCACTGCAATGTCTATTTGAATTTAAATTAAATGATTTCTCAATATTATATAAGTTCCCTTTTGTTAGTAAATGAAGTCTATCTAAATTGTCTTCATCAACTGAATCACGAACACTATCCAAAATAACATCAAATGGTATTTTTAATGCTATTTTCACAGCTAAATTTTTTCTTTCTTTTTCATTTAGAAACAAATAACCTATATCCTTGGTGTGTCCTACATGATTTTCCAGGAATTCGCAATAATATTTTCCATCATTTTTATTATTTACTAATGTCAGTGATGCAGGACAAAATGCATTTATTTTGTTACTGCCCTTTGTTTTTAGAGCTCGGCTTCTATTTTCTTTACACAAATACTCCCCAGATCTACTACATTCAAACTTTGTAATATTTGTTGTAGACATTTTCTTGACAAAACGGGACTTTGTCTTATTTTCAACTATTCTTAAATATTCTTTAAACTCCTCAATTTTAGAGAAAGTAATAATACTCCTGATAAGTTTTATGTCATGTTTTGTTTCGAAGTGGGTAATTAGTTTTTTTTTAAATGAACTTTGATAGTCGCAGAGTGGACACTTTTAAAATATTATTAAATAAAGTACCTAATGAAAATATTAAACACTTAATTTGTAAAAATTTACCTTTGAACCATTATCCTCTATGTCAATACTCTTGCCATCAAGTTCATGGTTTTTTAAATGGAAATTAAAATGATTGTATGAGAAATGTTTTTCACAATATTGACAAGTAAAAGAATAATCTTGTTTTTTCAGCAAAGTTTGAACCCCCCCAGGGTGAATTCTTTTTATGTGTTTCCTTAAATTTGATATGTCTGAAAAGCATTTTAGACATACTTCGCATTTATTTGCCATTGTAAATTGAGACAAAATCTTTCACTATAATAATCTTATTTGTATTCTTTTTCTATGTTGTATATCGCACATCTAACATAACCTCGAACTCTGCTCGTACACCAAAAATTATGGCGCCTGCGCTTTTGAATCGGGACGATTGTGATACTTTCTAGGTATCCGCTAGTCAAATCCACATGTTGCTCGTCTGGCCGTCAGAGGAAAATGGACGCTTAGAAGAATCTAGAATTCCTATTGGACTTCACGCGCATGCGCGACCACAACCACCCCGAGAAACTTTTAAAAATGAAATTTGAAAAGGTATATACTAAAATTTAAAACAAACAGATTATGAAACCGACATAAATAAAAGGAAAACAAAAGATTATATTAAATTTAAAATACCGAGGAAGAAAGTAGGCAACCAGGTTAACGTCCCGCCTTTCCCTTTTTGCATTTCAAAAGTAAACATGTTCTACATGGCATATTTGAAAGAAAATTTGAGACATTAGGAAGATAAAATAGGTGCTCCTAAAACTCAAACAGATAGAACCATTAACGAGGTAACTTAAGGTAAGGTTGATAACCACATAGATACATTTGTTTATTTTAAGGTTAGACTAGGAATTTACTAGCATATTAAGGTTATAAGAACCAAGAACAAAACGGGGCTTGACTCTGCTTGTCTTCACTGAAGTAACATCCGGCCGGGCTGTAAACAAAAGTTAAACAAACATAGGTCTCCCAAACTGCAGTACGGTGAAGCATTTGAAAACACAATCGCAGCATTTCTAACTGTAAGTAATTAATGTTTAATCATTGCAAATTTAACTGAACGTCAAACATAATAAGTACAGCTATAAATAACGCGTTTCCTCACTATAAATCTTTATTTTAGATAAAAGCTACACCGAAGCAGTGTTGTTCTAAGGTCTAAATTATCAAGGGTTGTTCCAAGGTAAAAATGTTTAAACAAAATATTTTATGAACGAACGAAAAATAAATGGACCTTCGTATTCTGTTTTGATTGCAGCAACGCATCATGAAAACGTAAAACCACACTTGGACCCAGTCCCAAATGTTTATATCGATTTTGTTGAGAATGAGCCCCTTGATACGGATCAAACCGTAGTATATAACCCAGTCTAGTGCACCCTGCCCAAAGTTTATACCCCCAGCGTATGGGCTTTCCACGTATGAACTGTTTTGTGTGGTGACGCCCGTAATAGGGCACCATAGCTTCGTCGATGCAGTAGTATTGTTCTGTGGGGGCAAATTGTATAAATTGATCATTCAAAATAGTGAATAAAGGTCTAACTTTGGCAAACTTATCACTGCCATCTAGGGCATTATTGTCACAGCAATGGATATTTTTCATTATATACGTAAAACGATCACAGGATATTGAGGCCTGGATGATAATATTGTTGCAGTCTGTAGCTGTCTCCCAATACATGTATCGCACTGAAACCCTAACATAACCACTAACTATTAAGACACCTATAAAACATTTAATTTCATTGATTGTAATGTCACCGGGTCGATTTTTGTGATGTAGTAGGAGTTCAAAAACATTCTGATCGAAAAAGTATTGAAATAATTCCAGTGGAGTTTTATTATTCTGAGGCCCTATAGTTGGTACAAACATTGAGAACGACTTTAGGGCTCTTGGTACCGTGACACTATCGATTGGCATAAGTTTTGACCTACCACACAATACTGATAGTGGTGCGTCGTCCTCGGGATCACTTTCGTTGACGTCCTTGGAATCATCATTCCGGTGGAAAATTTCCACTGGAGCTCGCAATTGACTTCCGGGGAGGTTATTTAACTCTACCACATCATCTTCGCCCGAATCTGTCCGAGGGAACTTGATCTTCTTCGTCATCATCTAAATTTTCGATCCATTTTTTTTTTCCTCCATTTAAAGTTAGAGGTCTATGCTGTTTCCTGAAATGAAAAAATGAAAAACATTCACTAGTTTAGTATCCATTCATTATTGTTGAGTAATTAAAAAAAATACTTACTTATGAATCCGAATGTTAAACAAGTTACTATCGACCGTTATAACGGACGATAACATATATGGGTTGTGGGTGACTCCTGTATTTTT